GTTAGGGGATAAAGTTCTTGTAATTGTAATTAGAGATCTGAACATATATGAAAAGATTTTGATTCAATTAGTGAAGCCATTTCAGAAAGTTGTTTGTTTGCAGACTGAAAGAGATTGGCAAGTTTCAAAGGAGCAGGTAGCTGGTGTAAACAGCAAAGTGATGTGTCTTTTTTGCACTTCAGGAACATACTTATACTTACCATTTGATAAGAGTGATGGAGGGAAAATTGGTAATTTTAGCTAATGGGATACCAACAACAAAAAAGAACATTTGGCAGGAGTTGGGCGGTATGTTTTTGAAGGTAAATAATTCTTTGTATGCTGAGATTGATATGGATGTAGATGCCCTAGTACAGAAAATGCAGATTGGACCTTATACTTCCTTCAAAAGTGGGAAATATGTCTGAGCAATATGTTATTCATATTTTTTTATAGCAAGGATGTAGTTCGGGAAAATACTGAGTTATATCAGATGCATCAAGTGATGGATTCCCCAGTTTGTGTGAGAAAAATCTTTTGAAGCGTGAAGCTCCCTTGATCTTTTCTCTTTTGAATGTGGAGGTCAGTTGTAAATATGAAATTTCAAAGACTGAGTACAGAAATTCACCAAATAAATTTCATGATAGTAAATGCAATAGGACAGTTCAGCATCTATTTAAATTGCAGTGGACAAGTGAACTTAGTTCTTTAGGTGGTATTTGCCATATTCTTTAATAGGTCCAGGGTATAGAAATTAAGAGATCATGACAGTGCAGCAAATGATGGAGAAGATTTTTGAAAAAGATAAGGCAATGGAAGTTAGTCTTCAAAATATCTTAAGTAGATCTAGTCAAAAACTTTTGGTTGAAACTGTGTTTTGATTGAAAAAAGTTTTTGTTTAAATAAGACTTTTTGCAAGTTGTCTCCTTTCTGTAGAAATTTTTGATTTTGTTGAAAAACTGAACACCCAAAACTGAAATTTTCAGCCAAATATTTTGATTCAGAAATGCCAGCACTGTATCTCATGGGAGTTGTAGTTCAGGTGTCTCATGCCCCCATTCTCTTCTAGGTCTGGGCTCCCTTGTCAGACTACATCTCCCATGATCAGCAAGCAGGGAGTTCATGGTGCATCATGAATGATGTAGTCCAGCTAGGGAGCTAGGACTGTAGAGGAGAATGGGGCATAAAGCACTTGAACTACAATTGCAATGAGGCACTGCTATAGTACTTCCAAATCAAAAAGTTTGCGTGTACAGTTTTTTCACCAAAAGTCAACATTGTCTGTGGGGAATACAGAGCATTTTCTGACCAGCTCTAATCTGAAGTAATATGCATGGTATCAAGAAATACTGGTATAGACAAAGCTGTGAATTGTCTTGTATGCTAAGGTATTTCAGGACTCCCATTTGACATCTTACTGGGGTGTGCAGAGTATAGATGAGAAGGAATGCCGATGTGTTGAGGTGGATAAATAGCAATTCAGAAGGTACTCAAGTAGAGTGTAGGGGGGAGAGCTTTCTCTTCTATTAATGTCTTGGAATTTCCACCACAGACTTCAGGTTATGTTGCAGTTTATCTACTTAAAGAGTCCTCCTCTGGGGGAAGTAGAGAAGTACTTTTGGAGAGTAGAATATCAGAATTGTGATGTATCATACATTCATATGCTTCTTTGGGTAAAACGTGCTTCATAACAGATAGCAATGAATCAATTGAGCTTAGTTTTATAACTAGTTGTGGAGAATACTAGTCTCCAATCATTGGCTGGTTGCGTGAAAAGCCAGGATAAGTATTCTGCATGTTGTCGGTTTGAGTTTCCATGGAAGATAGCTCCACTGGAGAAGTAAATAACGAGTCTTTAGCTGTATAGCACCATTTGAAATCAAAATCGATGCCACACAAGTCAGAACATCTTACTAATGATTAAAATTCTGCTACTTTGTCAGTATGGCAAGCTGCTGTGGATATGCAGTTTATTGCGGACAATTCTGTTGTATCAGCTTGGTATACTGCTTCATGAGTCTGCTGATCAGTTGCCTGAGGCAGATTTGTATGGGAAGTTTCTTGGGATTCGTTAGTAAATTTTGAGACAGAGACAGGGAAATTTGCAACCATATAAAGATGCTGAAAGAATTACAGCAGCAGATCCAGAGAGCACTGTTGTCTTGTGAACAGACCAGACCTAACTGATATTTGCTGGAGGATGGGTTTTTTGTCAGAGGTAGCAGAGTTGAATGACAGCAAGTTTGACATTTCTGAAGATTGTGGTCTAAGTTGATGGGACTTTGATGGAAGTTCTCTGAAGCGGAATGAATCATGGTGGATTAATCATGGAAAATTGCAAGAACATGCATCAGAAAAGATACGTGTGTATTGCTTTTTAAGCTAGGCGAGAGTAGGATGAATTGGTAGGTGGTCATAACACATATGAGGAGTCACAATTAATTGGATAGTTGGCTTGTAAAGAGGGTGGAACGTGTTGAAAAAGTAATTTAGAAGAATTACAATAAGTTTGAGAGCTGGTATAGTTTACCAGACAATCAAAATTCAGAGGTGTTGTAGATTCATTAGGTAAGCCTTCCTCTATTACTGAGGCTGAGTTAGCTGAGCATGGTTAAGATCATGTAAGTGGTACATGTTGCCTTAGTGATTAGAGGCTATTACTGACATATGTTAGTAATGAGGCTGGGATTGGAAATTTTTTTTTAATTCAGATGATTTCTGAGTTTGCACAATAAATGATTCACTCTCTTATATAATTGTCCTCCAACAGGCTTAGCAGTTTATAGTGAGGGTGGGGTTAGTCTACATCACTTGTTATGGTTGCCAGTGAAACATGGGAAGAGTTTACAATACAGAAGGCTGTCAGCAGAAGCAGATTTTGAAGTTAGATATTGTGAAGGAGTGCATTACCCTTTTAAGGGTCAGTCGGGAGCTCACAATCAGAACAGCCTGTGTATAATCAAGGAGACACCCTGTTCCACCCTAGAACTGACATATTTGAACAGAAAGATGAGCAGAAGAGAGGCGATTAGAAGCTGCCTAGCTTGCGAGGGTGTCGAGTTATCTCTCCAGCTCTGGAAGGCTAGCCTGACCAGGCACAGAGACTTTGTTTTAGGATGCTAAGTTTGGGTACTCTAAATCAGGGTTCTGAGTAAGGATCTTTGAACAGGTATTCCAAGTTTTCCTTCCATGGGTCTTCATTAAAGGAGATACACTTCTTTTGATCATCTGTCTTGACTTCTCATTCCCCTCATCTGTGCAAGCAGAAGTTTTGATGCCCAGTTGGGGAAAAGTAAGGTGGGGATTACCTGCAGTGCCATACCTGACCACAAGGGTGTGCATAGGGGAGCCCACCCATTCACTGGTCTGCTTGTATGATGATATTGATGGTAGATGAAGTGAAGATGGCCTCTCATCCTATGCTTGTTTTCATTCAGTTACATTTGCAGGAGGTTTTGAAAACTGTAGAGCCCATGATGGTATTTGGTGGGATGTTGTTTTCAGGTGATCTTTCTTTCAAGAAGGGGTGAATATCAAGAGAGGGAAAATTACTTTTGTAGTGCTTCACTTCTTGTCAACTGTTGCGAATAGGCCACTTCCATCTTAATTGAATTGGCCTTGTTAGCACTGACCCCCCACTTGGTAAGGCAACTCCCATCTTTTCATGTGCTGTAATATTTATACTGCTTACTGTGTTTTTTCACTCCATGCAGCTGAGGAAGTGGGTTTTAGCCCACGAAATCTTAGGCCCAAATAAATTTGTTAGTCTCTAAGGTGCCACAAGGACTCCTCCTTGTTTTTGCTGATACAAACTAACAGGGCTACCACTCTGAAACTTGAAAGTGTCAGTTTCATGCCTGTTTAAAGTCAGTTTCTAGTTATTATTTGTAGTGGGGTAGTATCCCTAGAGCCCCAGGCAGGTGCAGTATAAACTCAGGGGATCTTGCCCTAGTAGAATGTTTCCAAAGTTAAATGATCTATTCCAAGCTTGGTGAACTGCTTAGAAAGTAATCTAGATTTTTCTACAACTGTTTCAATTGTTATATTCAAGAGTTAGTAACAAAGTAAGAATATACATTAAAATTTTAAACCTAACCAGTGTCCCTTAAGTGACTTGACAGAAGATGTGAGAACGTGTTAGTATTAGAGTTGAGTGGGACTAATATTTATTTAATTCTCTTTTTTATATAGGAATTAGATACAGTGCTCCTATCAGCTAATTTCTAAATTATCTGGAGAGAAAAAAAAAACCTGAGTTTTCAGGTACCTAAGTAGCCCCCGGAGTCAAAGATCACCCCCCCCCCCCCCCCCCCACACACACACAAATCTGAAATGTGCCCTTTGGAACCTGTGTGCCATTTAATACCAGGGACAGGAATTCTTTCCTGACCAATTGGTGCTCCCCAAATTAAAATCTGGAGTCCCCTGTAGTTTTTCCCTAACTGCTGTCAAAATTCTTTGACACACCAAGCACCCTTTGGGCTGCCAACATAAAACGGGGAAAGACTGGGTATCTGGTAGGTAAGATACGCTCAACACCTGCTCAGGCCAGGGCTGTGCAGCACATTTTGGGATTTGATTCTCTAGCATCCATTGCTCTTGATGGGGATCGCTGCAGATGCTGTTGTCATAAAGCTCTGAGTGGTGGTGCAGTGTCAGCCCGGCTCCTTCCGAGGAAGGTGACTGGGAGCCCAGCGGGGCTTCCTGAGATTGGCTGCATTGGCCTAGCCCGCTCGCTCCCCTCGCTCCTCTTTTCACATGCCCCCCCCCCCCCCAGCCCTTCGGAATCCTGTGGCTGTGAAGCTGGTGCCCTGCCATGAGCGGTACTGAGCCAGGTCCCCCCACTCCCTTCCCCCGCCCCCCTTCCGGCCCCTCCTCCTGTCACTGATTCGGTGCTGGAGCCCGGAGTGTCTGAGCTCCCCCTGCCCAGTCCCCCTCCAGCAGCGGCGACGGCTCCGGAGCTGTCAGTGCGCAAACATCAGCCGGGGCTCCGGGCACAGACACTTACACGACCAGGTCCAGGTCCAGGTCCAGCCCGCGGCTCCGGCGGAGTCAGTGCCTAGCAGCAGCAGCAGGTACAGTCCCACCATCTACCTCACCCTGGGTAGCTGCCCCCTGCAGGCCCGGGGGGCGGGGGGGCGGCTGGGGTAAGCTCTGAGAAGCTTCCTTCGAGAGGACAGCGGCTCGCAGGGGGTTGGCGTCGCAATGGAGGGTTTAGTCCCTGGGAAGGGGGCTGTAGGGTTGTTATGTGGCATTATCTTGGGGTGGGGGTGTAATTACATTGCAGGATTGGAGAGTGTCTGTGGGGAGAGCAACTTGGAGTATTATGGGGGGAGGGGGAGACCCTGGGGGGTTTAACCCCTGCATAATTCTCGGAGGGGGGAACAAAGTGTGATTATTATTACCTAGATCTCCAAACTGTCATCTTGGTCATGCTCTGCCCCCAGCCCCACTCCTTCAGGAGGAGCAGGCTCCACAAACACTCTGAGAAAGAGCCACTCCAGGCAACCCCCTCCTCAGGTGCAATGCTTCCCTGCCCTTTTCCCAGGTAATACTGTAAGGGCTGGTCTACACTGTGGGGGGGGGGGGGGGGGAGATCGATCTAAGATACGCAACTTCAGCTATGCAAATAGCGTAGCTGAAGTCGAAGTATCTTAGATCGAATTACCTGGGGTCCACACGGCGCGGGATCGACGGCCGCGGCTCCCCCGTCGACTGCGCTACCACCGCTCGCTCTGGTGGAGTTCCGGAGTCGACGGTGAGCGTGTTCGGGAATCGATATATCGTGTCTTAATGAGACACGATATATTGATCCCGGATAAATCGATTGCTACCTGCCGATACGGCGGGTAGTGAAGACATACCCTGATACTCCTGTAGGCAGGGCCGGCTCCAGCCACCAGCGCAGGAAGCAGGTGCTTGGGGCGGCCAATGGAAAGGAGCGGCACGTCCGGGTCTTCGGTGGCAATTTGGCGGCGGGTCCCTCGGTCCCTCTTGGACCTGCCACTGAATTGCCGCCAAAGAATGAAGCAGCGCGGCAGAGCTGCCGCTGAAGTGCCGCCGATCGCGGCTTTCTTTTTTTTTTTTTTTTTTTTCTTCGCCGCTTGGGGCAGCAAAAAAGCTGAAGCCGGCCCTGCCTGTAGGATGCAACTTGCCATGACACTCAATGCCTTGGGGCTCTCTGCCTCCTCTCTTTGTGGGGCTGGGATCACTCCTTGTCCTGAGTAAGAGGTTAGACTTGCAAATAGATTAAAATAACATACCTGATAAATCCCAGCTTTTCAGTATAAAATGGTTAAGGTTTATGTGGAAGATGCAAGGATCTGTGGGTCCTGGCCCTGCTCTCCATGGGGTTACACCTCAAAGTACTTCCATGAAGCCAGTTTCCTGGAGGGAGAGAGGGTTAAGCCTGTATGGTCTCTCTGTAGTTGGTTTCCAGGGGGAGTTGAGCCCCATGGCTCCTCCTGGGATTAGTCTGTGACTCCATTGACTTCTGAAAAGTGTAGTTTTGTGCCTGATATTGTGAACAAATCTCCCTTGTGTGTTTGGCAATCCTACTGTCACTTCCTCTCCCCTCCACCCCCAGCTCCTAGGAAAATGGGTCAGCCTCTCCAGATAACATATCCATAAGACAATTTGTGAGTTTCTGCACTGCCAGCCGGTTAGGAGGCAGCATTCTGGTCCTTCTGTTTATGCACATACTGAATGTGCCTTGCTTCAATTATTCATCCTGGTGCCATTGCAACTTCCTGCAGCTTGTCTCCTCCAGGGAGCTGAATGTGTAACAAGGTTTTAAAATACTTTGTCTTTGAAACTATGATTCCATCCAGCTACACGGCAGCTGTCTGCTTGCACACCCATAGTCAAGGAGCTAATGGTTAACTGATACCTGAGAAATTACTGTGTCTGTGTGGAGGCAGGGGGGCAGGTGTCTGAGTACATTAAGGGTGTCCATCCCATTCCCCATAGTCCGTCCCAAAGAAACATGATGGATTATGATGGGGTTGGGGCCTTAAATAAGGAATCATATTTCTGGAACTTGGTCTGATGACCATTCACTGTCTGGAAAAGTTGGTCTTTCCCAGGCACAGTTGGTCTCAATGGAGGAGAAGTTGGGGATTGACTTAATCCTGATAACACATCATGGATATTATCCGTATTTAACAGAGGAGGAGGAGATAGGCACAGAAGTGGGAAGTGAGTGAGTCAGTGGTGAAACGGTGAACCTTATTAGCTATTATGTGTATTTTAGTTTGATCAGCTAACAGCTGGACCACCCTCACTACTGTGGGATCTGGACACTTTACTAAACTGGGAACTATTCACACTTCTAAATATCTGGACTCAATAAGCCAGATAAACCCACTGCAGCCAGATGGCTCAAGTGTAGAAGGATGCTCTAATTAGGCAGATGCTCAAATATCCATAGTTCAGTTACCCTAGGAAAGTCCGGAAAAGTTGTATTGCAATTGTGTCTAAATTCAATCAGGTTTGGGGTTAAACGTAATTCCAGAAAGGAGCAAACTCCAGCAACAAGAGCCATTTATTGATTTCCAGCTCCTATAAGACAGGTGCACAAACAGGGAGAAGCTATTTCTAAGGTAAAAAAGACCTAGACCATTTAGGTCTTTTGTAGATAGTAACCAGCATCTTTAGTTTCACCTGGAAGTGAATTGGCAGCCAGTGCAGAGCAGAAATGTAATGAGCTCTTAGTAGCCCCCTGAGCTGTTGGTGGGTGCACTAGCCAAAAAGTGTGAGCAGTTAAACACAGGTACAGCACATTGCAGTGAACCAGCCTCAAGGTGACAAAATCATGGATAACCAAGATGAGGTGAGCATCTGAGAAATTAGAATTCAAAAGTTCTTCCTCCCCCTCCCTTCTGTGTTCTTTCCTCTACCATACTGCCTTTGTTACGAGAGCAATGTTGTCCACAAAACAGGGCCCTGGAGCCTGCTCTGTCTCCTCTTGGACAGAGATTGGATGCCAGATGCTGAGGTCTAATATTCAGAGTTACTTTGTAATTTATTCCTGAAAACCGCAAAAACCTTTTAATTTCTCAGAGTCTGATTTCTAACATGAGCTGCACATTTCCCCTGGTGCAAAGTCCTCCCTTCCAGGATCAAATCCCCATTGCACTGGAATTAAAGCTTGTTGCATGGCCTAAAAGGGCAGGTTTCTATGTGGTGTTTTAAGGATCAGGGTTATGGGCTGCCAAGCTAACATTCCATCATTCATTGTTCAAACAGAGCCTACCCGACTGAACTCCCATGTTTTCTCCAGCTCAGACAGGAGATGCCTCAGTTCTTCCCTCCTGATTATCATCCAGGAGTTTAGTATAGATCCCATTACATAGATCTCATTAATCCCTTGGTTTTTGATTCATCCGTTGTGACTGTCCAATTCCCAGTTGACTTAATCTAGTCACATACAGCATCCCTGCCCCCCGTGCTCTTGTCAATCTGTCCCCTAGAGTGCTCTGTTGCCCCCATCCACCCACTGAAGATTGCTCGTTTCTTCCAGTCAGGTTAGAGAACAAAAGAGGAATTCCTGCTGCATCTAATCAAAGAGCTGAGGCTTCCAGCAGAGAGAACCCAACCAGGAGCAGGAATTGATCACAGAACTGAGCAGCAGAGAAATCCATCCAGAGGCTGGTAATTGATTACAAAGGCTCCATGGGGGAAGTTGTACAGGCTAGACCTCACTCTGTCCCCCAGCACTTTGTTCATTCATCCCATACATAGCTGTTACTGTGGAAGTGACTCAGGCTGCACGTGCACCTGCCAGAAAACCCTTTTCTAGTTTAAGTGAAAGGGAATGTAGAGACTGTGGGCGGCAGGAGCAAGAACTTAACCATCCAGCTTCAGTCACCTAATGGGATGGCACTTTTGAAAAAAGTGGGTAAAAGGAAGGCAGATGGATTCCCCTTTGGCTAGAGTGCTTGCCTGAGCTACTAAGGCTTGAGGTATGTGGAGGGTGGCTGGACTGGTGGTGATAGATAGGAATGAACAGACTCTCATAGATGCTGGAGATGGAAAAGCAGGGCCCATTACAGCCAGCCTAGGCTCCCTTTTTATTGCTGCACCTGCAATGCCCAAGGTTCAGTGTGTTACTCTTTCCCACATCCCTTCCACCTGCCTCACTTTTGCAATATGGGAGGGGGAGGAAGATTCCCTCTTCCTGGGGGGAAAGGGATAATGGGGTATGTATCAATAACTGCTGTGTGTTTGGAGAATAGTGGATGGAGACTTCTTGAGGAGGGGAAATCTGTGATGTGCTCTGGCCAGGGCAAAAATAGAAGAGATGCGCTCAGAGCTCTCAGCACATATCAGATTGGTTCCACAGCATGCAGCACTGGAGTTTCCATAGAAAATATCACACCTATTCTTGATAGGATGGGGATGGGCTCCCACCCCAAACAGAGGCCTTTCTCTCTGTGACAGGCAGATTTTCTAAACCAACTCTAAACCCTACTAGGTTCCATCTAGTCCTCCCTCCTTTGAATCCAAAGGAGCCATGTTCCCTGCAGTCTGCTCTCCAGGGCTATAAGAACCATGGGATTCTCCAGAACTAAACTGTACAGCAAAGACTACCATTTTGCAGCGCTGCCCAGTCCCTTCAGCAGGCTCTGTCTTCGTCACTTCCCACCGGGCTAGCCAGTATAGTATCCCTTGTGTTACTGATGTAATTTGTTATTAAAATACTCTTATTTTATGCTGACTCACATTTTCACTATGTGGCAGATCTTTTTATTGAGGAAGAACTGCATCATAGATGTTGGGGCAAAGCTGGAGGTTCTGACTGCTAAGAGGGGGGCAGATGGAGCTTCTAGCACCCAGGAAGGCATAGGAGCTGGTTTTAGCTTTTGGTATCAAGGAGGCAGCTGAGGAGTTTAGTACTAGGGAAGGCTTGGACCGACTTTCTCACACTTCTCTTCCCAGAAGAGACTTTAAGTCTATGGAGAGTGGAGGTTTAAAGTTCTCATTCCACACCCCAGAAATCTGAAAGCAACTACCTACCTTGCTCCATCCCTCCCATTACTACATCCAACATTGACAAATAAGCATGTTACCTGGATGTTTCTACTAGAATAATCAGCAGTGAAATAATTGTCAACATTTTAAACTGACATCAAGGAGCACAGTGTTTACATGCTATAGAGATGAATGGGGCTGTTGGCACTTCTCTGAGCAATTGTTTCATGTTTCCTGTAGACTCTTGCAGAAATCATTGAACTGGATTACATTCACTTTATATTTTAAAGATTTTCTTTGCAACATAAGGGCTGCAGACTTAATTTCTTTTTAAATGAAATCTGAGATTCTGGACAGTTGTGGAGCAATTTAAAAATTTGCAGTGGTGGGGGTGCAGAGCAGGAGCCAGAAGCGACAGACTGGGAAAACTTCATTTTCTGAACAACTAAAACTCATTTAAACAAATAGAAATGCAAACCTCATAACTCTTTGATATTTTTATTCTGAGCCACTCCCCCAGACAAGGGCGATAGTCCTTAGTGGGAGCAAAACTAAACAAAATCTACCTGGTGGACTTATTAAAATCTTGGCCTAATACCTCATACATAGTGCAGGCACAGTGCAGCACTTATGGAAGAGGAGCTAAAAGAAAGGGAGCCATTTATTAGAAGAATGTTGAAAGAACTCCTTTCTGGACAAGGCATAAACAAGAAGCTTCTCTGATGTCCCTAGAGCAGATGTTTGAGTCTGTGAATGCTAAAAAGCATGAAATGGGAGAAAATAATACATGAGATGGAACAACCAGATAATCAGTCTGAACTGACGACACAGCCTCTACCCTATACTAGTGTCTATCACAGCTCAGAGTAAAGCCCTTGCTAAAAAACAATGCCATGTGAGAGAGACAAGAGAAACTACTATCAAATGAAGTGCAGTCCCACAATAGACATTTTTAGGCATTCCAGCAAGGAGAGAAAAACTGGATTATGTAGCTGTTATGGAAACGACAGTGCCCAAATGTGTAACATAAATAGTATGGAACATTCTTCTGTGTATGATGAAAAGCTATTGGATCCCAGTGAGGAGACAGGTAGAAAAAATAAGAGGAATCATGATCCTTTCTTTCAGATGCCATGGTGATGAGCTCAATATAAGATCTTGACTAGAATAGATGGAGCATGCTCTGAGCTCAGCCAAAAAGAATTTTAAATCCTCTGAAGGGAGAAAGATTCTTCTGTCCCCAGGCTTTAGACGTTTCCACTTCGACAAAAGAAAAGCTCTAAGAAAAGGTAAAGATCATCACATAGCAAAAGGAGTTGAAATGATTTTTACACCAGCCAAGCACTGGGGAATCTTTAAAATGAAAACAAGACACTCTCTGGGACCACAATGCTACAAAGCGACTGCTGGAAAGAATCTGTGTTGAATGCACAGGACAAGGAGAAAATGGAAGAATTAGCCTCTGATATTTAAAAGGCTGCTTTCACTGAGACTTTGCTCGATGAACTGTGGCATATTAGCATTGAAATCCAGTGTAGTTGAACTATTCTTACAGTGGAATTATCCAAAGTGTTTAAAATCATTGTACTTTGATATTCTCTGGGACTTGTGAGCACAAAGTATGACAATGAGCAACAAATACTGTATAAGCTCTGACTGCTCTTTCCCCCCCTCTCCTTTCAGTGGAGCATACATACTTTGTGAAAAATAAGAATATATTTAGAAAACTAATCATTTGGCGCCCTATATGCTGCAGAATTTATTCACTCCATCATCTCCCACCCCCATCTCTTGAGGACTAACCATTTCAATAATCAATGATAACTCATTGCTTTGTGTGTGTGATGTTTTTTGTCTCCTCTCCCTACCCACCATGTATGAATAGTACTCATGTTTCCCAACACAGTATTTTAAGATGGGGTGCTGGCCCTTTAAAGAGACTGTAGGTCAAGAGCAGACTGCTTCCAGTTCTGGCTCCAGAACAAAAAATTCTGGAAGGCATAGGCAAAGCAGCCAGGCATGTTGGAAAAGGATATAAAAGAGCTCCCTTTTCCCCCAGTAAGAGAGAGACACCAGGAAAGTGGCAGGATCTGCAGTGTTGCTTCCTGTTAAAATGGCCTGAGATGAAACATAAGAGGCAGATGGACAGAAGAATAAGGAATTGAGTCAATTTGCATCTCAGGCTTCTTCATTGGGGCTCATACCAGGCAGATTTTCCTTATTGGTCGTTAGTGCAGAACTCTTTCTGTACCACTTCCGCCTCTGCCCCCTCCCCAAAGGAAGCCTGAAATTTGGCCTAGTTTTAATGTGGTTATTTGACTGGCCTCTTAGTGTATGTCTACACTGGAGGTGGAAGGTATAATTTCCACCTCAAGTAGATATACCCTCACTAGCTCTGATGGGTCTAGCATGCTAATAATAGAAGTATAGCTGCAGTGGTGCAAGTACTGGCATAAGCTAATTGCCCCAAGTACATACCTATGGTCTCAGATGGGCTCATACCTCTGGGGGCAGCCTCCCTGTCACTTGCACTGCCGCAGCTAGTCACCCCATTCTTTGTGCCTGCTGCCTTGGCTACATTTCTATTTTTAGCACACTAGCTTGATCAGAGCTAGCATGGGTATGTCTGCTTGAGCTGGAAATTACACCTTTCCTCTCCAGTACAGATATACCCTTAGTTGTCTTCCACACCTGTAGTGCCTTCTGTCCCACTGCAACTCAAGTCACAGCTGCATTTGTGCAGAGCAGGTCCCACTGCCAGGGAGCTCTGAATCCTGGTGTAGTGTGATTTGTCATAATCTAGATTTTGGAGGCCCAGATTCCACTAAACACTTAGCTCTCTAGGAACCGGGGCAGCTAGCTGCCTCCAGGCAGCCAGGCCATCTTAGTTCTTGTGAAGAAATTTTCTCTTTTTCCCTCCCAAACTTGTATTGAAAACTTTACCAGGAAAGACTGTGGTGCTGACAACTATCTCCACTCTGTCTGTGTTCCCAGCCTTTCCACCCACCAGCCAATTTCTCTCACAGACACTTTCAGGCTTTCTCCCGTGCTACCCCCTTATGCATGGGGAACAGGGGAAATATCTCTCATATAATCTGTACAGCCACTATCTTATCCTCCTTCATATTCCTCCTTTAAAACTTGCCTCTGCTTTGATGCCAACAAAACCTTGCCTGATGATCATAACTAGGCAGGTGATGAAAAATGACCCTTTCCCTCCCTACTCATTTAGTCTTACTAACTTGTTCTTCACATGATTGCACATGTCCATTCCACTTCAGGTGTATGTGCACCCAGTGCACCAGAGCTGGAGATTTTTTCCCTTAGCAGTGCCCATTGCAGTGGCACATGTGCTCTCTTCTTCCTTATGCTGCTACACAATGGTGTAAGGATTCCCCTCAGTTCCTTCATACCGCCTCTGATCGGTAGTCTGAGCATGTTAGCTTCCTGCTGACAATGTTCTCCCTTTCCAGAGACTTTGTTTATCTCTTGTATGTAGTTAGTGGTATTTGTTTTTCATAGTTGTTAGCAACTTTAGTGTAGGTTTCAATTGTTGCTTTTCTTAGGGTCGCTTCCCACTTGTCTTGGGTACTGATGCCTGGTACTGAGGTGTGCTTCAGTTTCCGGGCTTTAAGCCTTAAGAAGACTATGCCAGTAAATGACCCTCATTCCAGGTGCCT